CGACACTAGCTGTTCTGTTCGAACTTTTCATAAATATTATTATTGTGCGTTCGTGTCGAGTCATGATGAAATATTATGAATAGTCTTTTTTCAACTCTTTTGCACTAGACTAGAGTTCATTTCAAATGTATGAATTTGTTGGGCCAGCATGTTTTGTGTACTGCATTAGCTTCCAATATTTCAATTTCAAAATCTTATAAAACGTGTATTCTATAAAGAAAATGTAAAAGAGAATGTATACACTTTTTAAAGTAAAAGAGTGATTGTGTCAAATCTCATTTGGTTGCTTTTTGTTAGGAGTCAAATGTGGAATAATACTTTTACTTCTAGGTGGGATATGCTTTTTAACTTTATGGAAAACTAATTAAAGTGTGTTATGTGTAGTAATAAAGTTTTTTCCCCCACCTGGTTGGTGTTTTGATATTCACATTAAAACTCGACTAAATTTGAAATTGCGTCAGGAAGTCCCAGGGGTAAAACGCTTTCTAACAAAATGGCGACTTGTACCTAAAGTGACTCGAATCCAAAATCTTTGATTAAGGATGAAGGAGTACTTATTACTCCCCACGATCGTCGTTGATATGTAGTATTAATTAAAGTTGATAGAAAGCTATGTGAAGTGAACGCAAATTAAGGTATCATAATAAATGAAGGACTAAATATATGTGGTGGATAAAGACACAGATTGGGGCCTTGGAGAACAATGTCACATGCATATTCATAGGTCATTTGACAGTGCCTTTAATGTAGGGATCTTCAAATCAGATGGTTAAAGCAAAAATAGGAAAAAGAAGAAAAAGTGGATGAATTACCTCATATTTGTACTAGCTATTCCATACTCTTATTTAATTTCTTTATTGAGTCGATTTGGGCGGAACAATAGCGAAGCTCAGATGGTAATGTAAATGCACGATAAGTATAGCAAGTTGTATAAGTGAGCTAGTGTGACAAGACACTAGTTATGAATATTGAGAACAAAAAGTAGAGAAATAGGAAGAGCTTTTTTGTGAAATAGTAATATGCATTTTAGTGATAGAAAATGAAATTGTAATCATAATTGGACTATAACTTTAATTATGATACTTTGTCAGTTCTAATTTATGTGCTTTCTTTTTTAGTCCATCCTTAACAAAAGTCAACTTTCATAATTGGAGATAATTTAACATTAAAATTCCTTTTTTCATCCCTAATGAAATGGTCAAGGAAAAAAATTTTGGTCAAGGAGTATTATACACCATAAATTTCAATATTCTTTCTTTTTTAAACTTTGTGTTAAGTCAAATATCAATATAAATTTGGACGGAGGACATATTTACGATAATTGGGCTTAAGTATTTTAATTTTTTTTTCTTGCATATGATGTGATGTAATATTTATGGTGAAAAAAAAAACACTGCTGGTTTGAGTTCCCACAACATTGAATTTCCATCTACCCAACTTGAAAAATTTGAAAAATTATAAACAGATTTGCCCCACTTTGTCTCCACTTCCTGAAGTTTCCTACTACTAAATAAATATTGCATGTATATTTATATTTGATGTAATAAAAATAATAAATCACAAAGTGTTTTTTATACATAATTAAATTCAAAATTTAATGGAACACTCTTTTTTAGCATGATAAAAATCTCCATCCCTTCAAAAAATGGTATTATGTACATAACTAATAAATTGATTTGACAACCCACTGACTAGCAGCACATGACCCATACTTAACAATATTTTGATAGTATTTTTTTCTTCAACTTATTTGAGAGTGAGACGTAATTATATAAAATTCTCAATGCAGATACTACAGGAGACAAAACACAAGAAACACAGCTACATACAAGAACAATATCGTTCGAAAGCCGAACACTACATATGTTCATGTCTCAACAAAAACAACGGTACCACCAACGTTGATCGCACCCCAGGCGGACTACTATACGTCCGTCAATGGAACAACATGCAGTACGTATCGACCGCGGCCTTCCTCCTCACATTCTACTCAGATTTCCTTAAAAATTTCGACCAAAAAATCGTCTGTCATGGAGGAATAGTTGATCATGAAGAACTATTCAATTTTGCTAAATCCCAAGTGGACTACATCTTGGGCTCAAACCCAAAAAACATGAGTTATCTTGTGGGGTTTGGCCCAAATTATCCAAAAAGAGTACACCATAGAGGGGCTTCAATTGTGTCTTATAGAGAGAACAAGGGCTTTATTGGATGTACACAAGGGTATGATTATTGGTACAACAAAAATGGGCCAAACCCAAATGTTTTAATTGGGGCAATTGTTGGTGGGCCTGATAATCAAGATGAGTTTAATGATGACAGAGCAAATTATGTGCAAACAGAGGCTTGTACATATAATACAGCACCTCTTGTGGGTATTTTTGCTAAGTTGAATTTTTTGAGTTCACCATTAATTGCATCTTTCTAAAAAAAATAAAATGTATTATACAAAAATAATATAGTTATAGAATATGTTTACTTATCTTCTTTTTTTTTTTTTTAATTATTTGTGTTTTTTTTTTGGGTTTTCTTGTGGTGGCTAAATTTGGCAACAGCCTCCATATGATATCACACCTTGTGTAATGTAACCCCAATTGTGCATATGTGATAATGCAAGTAAGAGACTTATGTATTAAATTCATGCATTATTTTCATCTTGTTTATTTCAATACTAAAAAGGGTCTAAAATATTTTTAAACTATCGAGCTTGATACAATTTAACTTTTCGGCTTTAAATTGACCCCGATGTCACCATATTGGCCTTAAAGTACCTTTATTTTTACAGTCACATTTAAAAATATAATTAAAAGTTTCATTTATTACGTGACATGATTTTATTAGTGTGATTTATAATTAACCCAAGCTAGTTAAATCTTAATCTAAAGTCGAATCCACTTAATAACCCTCTACCCACCCAGCCTAAAGATCCATAAAACTAAGGGCAGAGACACTAAAAAGATTTTTTTTTTTTAGGAAGATTGGATAAAACCTACACAAGCAATCAAATGGTACTCCCTCCGTCCCTATTTACTTGGTCCATATTTTCTTTTTTAGTTGTCCCTATTTAGTTGTCCATTTTGACAAATCAAGAAAAGACAACAAATTTTTTCCTATTATACCCTTATTTACACTTCTTGAAAATTGTAAAAGTGTATGTTGTTTCCCTCCAATTTATTTCACTTGAATTCAAATAAGTGGTTGTAATTTTGAAGTGAAAAGTTGTCATAAGGGTAAAATTATAACTTCACTGTGCTAATCATTGTTGCCTTAATCTGTATGCCATTTCTAAAGTGGACAACTAAAAAGGGACGGAGGGAGTAATTTTTAGACTATTGCATTTCAATTTTCATTCATGCATGTCTAAATTTTCTGGGAAATATTTAAGTAGGATTGCGTCAGAAGAATCAGAACAATATCATTTGGAAAGGACAAGTGACTTAGAGCATTCATTATACTATTTGTCCACATCCATGCATCATAAGGCTCCAATGTGTGATGTGTCCTTTTCTGATTTGTTAGACGATTTTTATCCATATCAACTCTAAATGACAAAGTTAACATGTATATTCGACCCTTTTCCTTTTTTTTTTTAAATTTATGAAATCTCTTTGGATGTGCCTTTTTGTGTGGTTCAAAATGAAATAATGAATAATGAGCTTTTGCCTCTGTATAGTATACTTTCGTTTCAATTTTATATGACAATTCTTATTCTACGTAGCATTTTACGTGTATTGTGATACTATGTGTTATGAAAATTCTAAGGAAGTGACATGATGAGAGTGAACCAAGTCAGTAGGGAATTGCTCAGAAGATTTCATATGTCGTTGAAAAAATACCCAACTACCAATAGGACGATGTCCAGCTTGTCTATTTGCTGAAACTATTTAATTAGTGGCTAGCTAGAGGCCAATATATAGTTGTATGAAGCAGTGACAACAATCATTTTTTTCTAGTGTTTGATACACCTGTTAGGAGTACTATTAATCAATAATTGATACATACAACTACAAGGGTAAAATTATTATAGAAATGCATCTTTTTTTATAAAAACAACTAAAAAAAAATGTGTCACGTGAATTGATACAAAAGGAATACTATTTTGTAAATCCTCTCAATTTGTCAATGCATTAAATAGCTTGTAGCTAAATCTCGATCCAAGAAATTTTAGTAACTCAGTTGATTTGCTTCTTTATTAAAAAACCACGCCCCATCCAGGGTAATAAGGACGATGCAATGAGGGGCCTGGGTAGGATTAGGAGAGAAAACAATCAAATATATGTCCAAATAAGTACTAGTTAGGTGGACCAAACAAATTAAATCAGAAAACGAATAATCATCCATTGTACCAAAAACATAATCAACACTAACATTTACATTATTTTGTTTGCTTAAACTTTAATAAACGTACTTAAGTTTTTCCTGATATAATGCAAAAGTTAGATTTCTCAATAGTTTGACACTCCCTTTTCAAGAGTTTTTCAACAGTTCACGGATGGAAACAGCATCAAAATAGTTATATTCTTGAATCTTACTATACACAGTAGACCGTTTCTTCCAATAACACGAGAAATCACAACAAAAAATATACGTTAACAAACTAAAAAGAGGTTTTTTTTTTCTGTTACTAGAATTTAACATGATTTTCACCTCACAACTAAGCATGAGTTCTCTGTCCTTTACAAACTTCTTTTTTAGTCGTTACGTCCTTTTTACAAGAAATTTTCATTTTTACACATAATATATATATACGAACCTATATCTTCTCCATCTATCTAGCCTGTGTCAATTCACTATCAAAGCTCAAAAGCTTTAAACTAACCAAATGTAATTTTTTGTAAATAAAAGTGAGAATTATGACAACTGGTCCCATTGTGAAGAGATAAGAACAACCATGTACATTCAAAGATATGTCAATTTTTCCAATCTAATTGATTGTAAACTTTTTCGACCACAAAATGATGCTTTCAAATACAAACAAACCTGCTGCAATCAGTCAATACCTTCCAACTTTAGAACACATATGTAGCAATGCTGCTACAGTTTACCTTTCTATCTTTTGGCCTAATCATTTATTCTCATATTTTTCTTTAAACTAGAAAGTTCAGAATCCAAATATAATAGCATCTCCTTCTCTCTGGAGGCCCTATTACAGCAATGGTAATTAGATTCAGATTTTCTCTTCCATTTTATAGAATATAATTATGTCTATGCTTACATATTTCTTGCAACTCTTTCTCGAATAACTTCAAGAAAGAGTAGGGGTAAGGTCTGCATACATCTTACCCTCCCTAGCCGTCACTTGTGGTGGAATAATTACACTGTGTATGCTGTTGTTGCTTACATATCTCATCAAAGCTTTCATTTAATCATGTACAGGTTTTGGTTGATAACCATGCTGGAAAAGATGGTGCAGAAGATGGTAATCTGGTTGATTTTCGAGGAAACCCGGTCGATAAGTCTAGGACAGGGGGATGGCTAGCTGCAGGACTTATCCTAGGTGACCTTCCTAATATAGAACTTTGTCTAATATCTTGAGTGTGTAATGTTTTTTGCAGTCACATAACTGACGTTTTTATTGTAGGAACTGAGCTATCAGAAAGGGTATGTGTTATGGGGATTTCGATGAATTTAGTCACATACTTGGTTGGAGATTTACATCTTCCATCCTCCAAATCTGCCAACATTGTCACCAATTTCATGGGGACACTTAATCTTCTTGGTCTTCTAGGTGGTTTCTTGGCAGATGCTAAACTCGGACGTTATCTGACTGTTGCAATCTTTGCTTCAATTGCTGCTGTGGTAAGATTCTTGAGCAAATTAAAGATAGAGAAGTTGTTTTGTATATCAATAAGGAAAATCTGAAATGGCAAAAAGGGTGTTCATACTAATAGACAATATGTAGCCTACATGTCTGGTTTTCGAACTGGTAAAAGATTTGCAATACACTTAAATGAATTACATGTGAATCTTGTTTCTCTTAGAACTTCTTCTACATGTTATTGTCCATTAAAGAGGTACTAAAATACCGTTTTAATATACGAGAGCTTTCATCATATGTATCTTGTGTCTAACCAGGGGGTTGCGCTGTTGACACTGGCGACATCCATTCCAAGCATGAAGCCCCCTGAATGTAACCCAAGAAAAGGTGGTCACTGCATTGAAGCCAGTGGCCAGCAGCTTGCTCTTCTCTATACGGCGCTATACATCCTAGCTCTTGGTGGTGGTGGAATCAAGTCAAATGTCTCCGGGTTTGGTTCAGACCAATTTGACTCATCAGATCCCAAGGAGAACAAGTCCATGATATATTTCTTCAACAGATTCTATTTCTGCATAAGCCTTGGTTCTCTGTTTGCAGTGACTGTGTTGGTGTATTTACAAGACAATGTAGGAAGAGCATGGGGATATGGGATATCAGCAGGCACAATGGTCCTCGGAGTCGCTGTATTGATTGGTGGAACGACGTTGTATAGATTCAAGAAGCCTCAAGGAAGTCCTTTGACTATCATATGGAGGGTTCTACTTTTAGCTTGGAGGAAAAGAAAGCTTACCTACCCTTCTGATCCTGGCTTCTTGAATGAATATCACAATGCAAAAGTCCCACATACACATATGTTGAGGTAAGTGTCTATTATCTACTATCAATGTAAAACACCGATAAACATAGAAGATCATGGACTAGACCATCCCAACATAGGATGGCATCCCGGTATCGCTAGGCAGAGCTAGTCAACCCAAACAGAATGCACAAAATGGGCAATAGACATCACAAGTATGGAATCTTCAACCAACATATATTCACAGACAATTGCATCATAATGTAGTCGCTGAATTTTTAACATATACGGACAGGATTAACCTGAATGTAGTAGTTTAGTACAAATTAAGAATTCATCAAATGAAAATAGAAGTGAAAAACAATTACTTGATATTAAGAGAAGCTAACCAGTACTTGTTAACAAATAGGTGTCTTGACAAGGCAGCCATTCTTGATGACTCTGCAGCTGCAAATGAGGATAGCAAGAGCCCGTGGATAGTTTCAACGGTTACAGAAGTCGAAGAAGTGAAAATGGTGCTTAAATTGATTCCCATATGGTCTACATGCATACTTTTTTGGACAGTATACTCTCAGATGAACACCTTCACCATTGAACAAGCTACCTTCATGATCCGGAAAGTTGGCAACTTTGCCGTCCCTGCAGGCTCCTTATCCGTCTTTCTCTTTATTAGCATACTTCTCTTTACTTCCATAAATGAAAGAGTCATTGTACGTATCGCCAGAAAAATCACTCACAACACCCAAGGAATCACAAGCCTTCAGAGAGTTGGAATTGGACTACTACTCTCTATTGTTGGTATGGTAGCTTCAGCTTTGGTAGAAAAACGCCGGAGGGAACATGCCATCCATCACAAGTTCAATATAAGCGCGTTTTGGTTAGTCCCTCAATTCTTCATTGTAGGTGCTGGGGAAGCTTTTGCCTATGTAGGACAGCTAGAATTTTTCATCAGGGAGGCACCCGAAGGGATGAAATCTATGAGCACGGGCCTATTTCTCAGCACACTCTCGATGGGATATTTCGTGAGTAGCTTGCTAGTGTCAATTGTACAGAAAGCAACAAAAGGAAGATGGCTTAAAAGCAATTTAAACAAAGGAAAGCTGGATTTATTCTACTGGTTGCTAGCAGTTCTTGGAGTAATTAATTTCTTGATTTTCATTGCATTTTCAATGAAACACCAATACAAGGTGCAGAACCTTAGCAGTATTGATGATTCTGCGGAAGAGCTTGGGAATTGGAAGGATTTGACCCTCGACAACAAGGAAAAGAAACTCGAAGCAGACGAGAAGGTGGAAGCTTAAATACAGCATATTAGCTTTCAACGAATCATTCATTTCCAGAGTTTGTACTATAGGACCGTATTCAGTTATCAAAGACATCAATAGTACAAATTTGCAACAAGTCTTGAGTTCTGTTTAGATTAAAACCTTCTTTTCTTTTCCTGATACATGGGATGCTCTAAGATATTAGAGTGCAGAAATATGATCAATTCAGAAAACGCAACGTGATATTGACACTTCAAATCATGCTGAAGTTAGAAACCTGGTCATATTTCTTGTTTTAAGTAACAGCATAACAACATTCATTTTTTTTAAAACATAGCAACATTCTTTATTGACTTTATACATTTGTCCTTCAATCGCGATCACAATAAATACCTTAACATAAGCAATAACGACTAACCGAAATTAGTGATCGTCACCTTCACTAGAAATTGCACATTGTTCTGCTTTGTTTCACACTTGAACCACTAGAGAGAGATCTTTTTATAAGTACTTCATTTAGAAACAATTAATCATCTGAAATTTACTATGCCTATAGATAAGTATCAGCCATTCTAATTTGTAGTTAGAAGTATTTTTTTAAAATTTATTAGTCAAACACAAATTGTTTCTCACTAAATATACTTTTTCTGAAAAGCACTTTTGAGTTTTTTTCTTCTTTCAAAATTAATTATTTCTAGAAGCATGATCAAATGGGCTAGAAGTTGGATTCCAAATTTTTGAAAACTACTTCTAGTATGTATAAATAACTTTCAAATACAAAATATATACTCTAACCAAATAGTAGTACATTTTTATCTTCAATTCTAATTTCATAAATTTCAAATTAAGTGATTATTGCTAAAAATTAAGTATTTCTTCGTAGGAAAAAGTGAACTTTTCATGAATTTCCTTCTCCTGAATAGCTATAGCACCACTTACCCGGCTTTAGAATAGTTCAAAAGTGGCAGCATTCAAAATCATAACTAACTCTCCTCTTTCTACGATTTCACTTGAAAAAAATAATTAAACTTCACATTTTTCTCACATCTCTCATCTTCTCCTTGTCGTCACACACACATTTCCACAGGATCAATTAGTTAAGCACGAAAAACATGGCAGCAACAGCCGTCGGTCCCGGACGATCGACCTCGTCGTACAGCGAAGTCCAACACAACCGTCTCATTGTATCTCTTCCTCTGCCTTCTGTCCTCAAAAAGCCCTTTTCAGTCATTGATGGCCCTCCTAGTTCAGCCGCTGGAAATCCAGGTTAATCTCACTTTTCTATCTTTATTAGAGGAAAATATGTTTTATGCGCAGTGTAATTTAACTTATTCGAACGTGCTATTTCTCGGTTTTCAATTGTGTAGTTGCTTTCTATTTTTGAATTTTTAGTTCATCCATTGTGTTTCGTATTTAAAAAAGGGAAAAAAAATGAGTGCCGTTGTTCAAACCTCAGCAGAGACAAAAAGCACGAGGTGATTCCCTTCATCTGTTATAGCGTTGGTGGATAGAGTTACCTGATACCTATAGCTGATGGATGTTTGACATGTATGCACGCAAGTTGGCCCTGAAGCAAGGTTATCAAAAAAACAAAAGAAAAAGTGTACCATTAAATGTGAAAAGGGAATGGAAATAATCTGACATTCGCTTGATGTGTAGCATGAGCATTATAACTAACTTCTTACTCTAGTCTCTACTCTCTAGTTGGTTTATAGATAGTTTTATGGATTTCGATTAATTGGCAAGCTTTATAATTTGATAATAGGCCTGCATCTATGATATAAGTTGATTAGATGTTTAATGATCTGAAACTTTTTTTGAAAAAAAAAAACAGAAGGAAACACTGAGATTACATTCATTCTATTTAATATGACACTCTATCTCATAACTCGGTACAAAAAAATTGACACCATTATATATCTGGAAACTCATTAGCTTTAACATTCCTTTTTATATTGTTGTATAGGAAGGGTAGTTGAAGACCACTAGATACCAATAGTATTTATAGAATGTTAAATAATATCATACATAGAAGCATTTATTTATGTGGTAGTATAAGTAACTAGTAAATGAGTAGATTTATAAGGACTCTATCTTCTTATATACTTGGTACCAAAGTTAGGCCTATCTAATTCTGGACTAAATAAAAATGATCCGAAATGTTATATCAAAGAAGCACAAACTTAGGTTTTTACTTAGTGATGGTTATTATTAGTCGTGTGGTTTTCCCAGAGATGGCCGTGAGTTCCGTGCCAAATTAGGTGGGGAGGGGAAGATTAGAACTAATTTCATCTTGAATCTAGCACCAACACAAGGTACTATTCCTCTTAAAAGAATTTTATACCTTTTTTTAACTGAAGAGCTTTAGTGTGGTATAGCCAGTTTGAAAATTTGAAGCAAATAATGACAAACAAACGAGGCTAATCTAATTTTGTGCTCAAAATGGAGGTAAGTTTTCCATATAAAGACATCACACATGTTCAGTTTGCGATCTCATTAGCCCAAGAAATAGAACAATGCTAAATGTTCTGTTACAAACAAGCCTTTTTTCATGCTTAGCTTCATATACATTTTAACATCATTATTGTAGGTGAAATTGCAAAGCTTTTTCCAAATCTGTTTGGGCAGCCTTCCGTGTCGTTACTTCCAGGTCACACATCTGGGGCTGCATTGGATCATACTCTTAAAATCGGGGTTGTATTGTCCGGTGGACAGGCTCCTGGTGGGCACAATGTCATCTCTGGAATTTTTGGTGAGTTCTTTTCCAATAGTTCTTACTTAATGGTATTTACTTTTTTGCAGTTCTGTGCATATGTATAGTTATTTGTACATAAGCGTGTATCTCAGCAATTAGTAGACAATTTTTCTTCTAGACTATTTGCAGGAGAAAACGAAAAATAGCACACTCTATGGATTCAAGGGAGGTCCAGCAGGGATAATGAACTGTAAATATGTAGAGTTGACAACGGATTTTGTTTATCCTTACAGAAATCAAGTAAGAAATTTACTTTCCATCATCCAGTTAATATACATGGTCTTTGTTTGCACATGTTCCAAACAAAATTTTCTCTAACAAATTATGCTTGTGGACTTTTATGGAAAAAATATTTTTCTATCTCGACTTATCTGTAACAATATGATGGCAGCCTACTTAGTTTCTGATGTGGGAACTTTGCAACTCTTTTTTTTTTTTTTTTTTTTTGTAATTGAACTTTTCATTAATCACCAAGTAAGGACATCACATTGCTTAGCATAGCATGTCACAGCTAATTAATCTCAAGGATAATACACACTCTCATCATCCTACACATCAGTGCTACCTTTCTAGATGTATCATTATAAACTTCAAATTGACTTCCAATTTAGTCTATGAGTTTCTGTAGTAAATTTGTAATGCACCCTCAGCCCTCACATTGAAGACACATACTATTTCTCTGGCAATGCTTTCAAGCTCCCCTTTTTTTTTTCCTTAAAAAATACGGTAGTTCCTTTCTCCCCATATGGCATGTATATTTTCAGTATACGTCAATTTGAGAAGCTTTGTCTGTTGTGTTTTACCTCTTCTGCGACTGGTTATCCTAGAGACTGCTGCCGTGAATTGATCAGAATTGTTTGAATTTTCCAACTTGATTAAGCTAAACCTCTACCTTCGGTTTAGTGGATATTTTATCCTTATTGTTTTCTCTTTTTGATTTACTGCCTGATTTTACTTCTGTAGAACATGTTTCATTGATAATATTTTGACAGGGTGGCTTTGATATGATCTGTAGTGGTAGAGACAAGATAGAAAGTGCTGAACAGGTTATCTTTCTTTTCTTTCATATTCAAATAGTTCTTCACTTCATCACCTATCAACTTCTTTTTATTTCTTCTATTTATTCTACGCAAACTATGCTTCATTGTAACTCAGTCTGCATAATGATTTTGTTTTCTTCTTCATTTTACAGTTTAATCAAGCTGCAGAAACAGCTAAGAAACTTGACTTAGATGGGATTGTTGTGATTGGTGGAGATGATTCAAATACAAATGCTTGTCTTCTAGCTGAGAACTTCAGGTAAGTATTATCATTATATTGGACTGGCTCATGGTAGTCGTCATTGGCGTTCTTCTCACGGAACTTTGTTTATTTGGTGCGACTGAAGGGGTAAAGGTCTGAAAACACGGGTTATTGGATGCCCGAAGACAATTGATGGTGATTTGAAAAGCAAAGAAGTTCCTACTAGTTTCGGATTTGATACTGCTTGCAAGGTAATTGTTTTCCCTTTTGCCTTATTTCCTACATCTTAGTTCCATTTTACTTCACATTATTTTTATTAATAACATCTAGGTAGCACTTCTCTCTTGACCTTTAGTTTTTGTTACTTCTAGTATGAGAAACACTTTGAAATGGTGTTACTTCAGAATATTTTTATGCTATGTCTGTCTTATTTTCAAACTGTTATGGAAGTATTTCACCCAAACCTTGTTGCTTTCTTTGTTTTCTTAGTAATGACATATTCACACAAATTTGATAACTTCGGTAGGTTACTCCTATCTATGGAATGTATAGATAGAGATTATCCAACTTCACAATTTCGATGCAGATATATGCAGAAATGATTGGAAATGTCATGATAGATGCTCGTTCAACAGGAAAATACTATCACTGTAAGTACATAAATTGTGGACAACTTGGGATACTACTTTATACATGCGTAATTTGAGAACTAGGACTTGTTTCTTCTAAATAAATTTATAGTTTTAACTCTCAATACTATTATTCATGTTCTTTTTATCAAGCAATTTATGGTTTCTCTAGTTGTAAGGCTTATGGGCCGTGCTGCATCACACATCACATTGGAGTGTGCTCTTCAAACCCATCCAAATATTACCATCATTGGCGAAGAGGTAATTGTTTTCCAAATCATTGAACATATTTTTCGTGCATGTATGCAACATATTACACTTATATGTGCCCAAAACTTGAAGAGAGAATTCAGTATTCTCCTAGAGTTCATTACAAATGCACAGTTTGAATAAATTTGTGATGAAGAAACTCTTTGGAGTAATGGATTATTTTTGGAAGTTCAATTTTATTCAGAGTTTCTCTAAGTTTCTATTGTATACTATGTCTAAGGAAAAGCCTTAACTCTACTACTTAAATTACTAGGTAGGGACTTCAGTGCATGCCATCGAGATGATTGCATTAAAATTCCATTTTCATGACTTTTTTTTTCCTGAGAACTATTCTGTAAAGAGGATCATGCCAAGTATCTTAGTTAGAATTAACTTTATAGGAACTGTTTCGTGATTTTTCCCTAATATTGACAAAGGTACTGTTTTGCCACAGGTTGCAGCCCAGAAGCAAACACTTAAAAGTGTTACAGATTACATCGTAGGAGTAATTTGTAAACGAGCAAAACTTGGTTATAATTATGGAGTTATACTAATACCCGAAGGCCTGATTGACTTCATTCCAGAGGTTCAAACTTTTAATTGTAGAAATCTTATCTCCCTCTATTTCTTGTTGTATAACTTTTTACCTCCATTTCACTCAGTTCTCCTTTCAGCTTGTTCTGTCTTTTGCATCTGATTTAGTTGATTCGTTTATCATTATGAACAGAAAAAATCAATAAAGTGTAGTTAAGATTCTCTCTCTTATTTGCAGGTGCAACAGTTGATTGCAGAGCTCAATGAAATCCTGGCTCATGATGTTATTGATGAAGCTGGCAGTTGGAAAAAGAAACTCCAAAGCCAGTCTCACGATCTCTTTGAACTCCTACCACAAGCAATTCAGGAGCAGTTACTTCTTGAAAGAGATCCACATGGAAATGTCCAGGTACTCTCCTTCAGTTCGATGGAAGTCAGGCAAATAGGACAACTGCTCATTTAGTCAAGTCATACTATGTTCTTTGTCTTATAGTACACTTTCTTTTGCAATTTCTGCAGGTTGCCAAAATAGAAACTGAGAAAATGCTTATTCAAATGGTGGAAGCTGAACTCGAAAGCAAGAGGAAGGAAGGTTCATATACCAAACAATTCAAAGGGCAGTCTCATTTTTTCGGGTAATTGATGCCACTTACACTTGACTTGTGCTGTTCTGTTTCAATAACCTATAATTGATACGAGTACTTAGAACTGCTTTCCTTAATTTATCCTGATAATAGTTCGTACTTGACTCTGTTTGCTTTGTAGTTACGAGGGTAGATGTGGTTTGCCTTCAAATTTTGACTCCAACTATTGCTATGCATTGGGTTATGGGGCTGGAGCACTTCTTCAGTCTGGCAAAACAGGCTTGATTTCCTCTGTCGGTGTTTCCATCCCTCCTTATATCTTCCCTCCTTTCTCCCTTCCTTTTACATAACTATCTTTACGTAGATAATTGCAATTTATACTGACACACTTGTTCATATATAGGTGGGAAATTTGAAAGCTCCAGTTGAAGACTGGACAGTCGGTGGAACAGCACTAACATCTTTGATGGATGTGGAAAGGAGACATGGTATCAACTTCTTCCTCTCTTGTTCATTGAATATGGTGTTATGGTATATTCTCCCTATTGATAAGCAAAAGTCTTAGAACTGTGAAGTGCCTGATTTTGCTGTTTAGACTCTTGTTCTTTTGTTTGAATTATTTTAGCTGAATACCTTAGTGCTAAAAGAAACTATTCGATTTTTTCTATTCTGAAACATCTACTTAGTCATTTAAAGCATATACTCAGGCAATACTCAACTAAGGACAAGTGCCTTTCTTAGTCCTTCCAGTGTATATGGAAACCATTTTCCAAAACAAAGCAAAAATAAAAACTGAATTGACAAGGAACAGCCAAATGTTTGCACAAGTAATTATAATAACGGAAAAGTACCTAGCTTACATCATATGAAAGTTTCACACTTAGAGATTCTGTGTTTGAGCCTTCGGGGGATTGACACCCCTCACTTATATGATGATCCACAACAAATTTATATAGACAAGGCCTTGGAGTGTTAAGAGTCGCACATTAAATTAGTAGTATTTAGCTCGATGACATTATGAGCCTCTCAGTACGAGTAGATCCAGGATGTAAAATCAGTAATTCGAGTTCTCAAAGCTAGTTTGAGTAGCTTCCACTATAGCCACTGGTAATTTGAAGCTGTGGGTTCGATTCTCTTAATAAATACCAATGATCAAGGATTTTCAGATATATATACGAGTTCAGAGCGGAAAGTAGTGGTCCTATATAGACACTAGGTCTGCCCTCGCCTTCCAGGCCTGTCATGTTTTGGCTAAGATTCCATGCTATATTTGTGATGAAGTGAAACTTTTGCAGGTAAGTTCAAGCCTGTGATTAAGAAGGCAATGGTGGAACTAGAAGGTAAAAGCTCCATTATGCTATGAATCATACAAGCTATGATTACTTACTACTCCCTCTATTCCATATTCACTGATTTGTGAGGCAATGTACATATATTAAAAATAATAATTAAAGGACATAATTTAAACCATAATTTTCACTATTGCCTTTTGTGAAATCACAAGTATAACTTTATAAGTAGAGTAATTTATCTCCTAGAAAATATAAAACTTCAATAAATGAAAGGACAAATTAAATTTTTTTGAAACATCCATCTTGAACAATTCAATTATTTTGAACAATGAAAAAAGCCTAAAAACTTCAGTTAATATGGAATTGAGGGAGTATCTTTTAGTAGAATCCTTTCTGCTGTAATTTTTGGGTAGTTAAAGCCTCACAACTGTTCAATTCCCAGGTGCTCCTTTCAAAAAATTTGCTTCCTTGCGAGAAGAGTGGGCTCTAAAGAATCGATACTTCAGCCCTGGTATGTCTTTATTATTGTTTCTAGAAACGTGTTAAGTTCTTCTTATTCAATACTTGAATTTTAACCTTTAAAAGCATGTATTTGCCACAACGTTGAGATTTTTCTTTTCCACATACAGAGCTAATTAGACTATTGATGTCCTTGTTAATTTGAAATTTTGTGGTTGTGTGGTATCACTTTTCATCTGGGACAATCTTTATTGGGTATGGTTGCCAATATACCCTCCTCACTGATACACCAGTACCTCACAAGTAACATATTCGCTGCAATGAACCGTCATTGAGTACATCAAGTGATAAAACATAATGATATTAGCAAATCATATATCTGATTATCCTGTTGACACACTGTTATTCTTCTACAACTAAGGAACACTCTATTGGAAACAATATCTCTATCCCTATAAGGTAGGGGTAAGGTCAGCGTACACTCTCAAACATCACTTGAGCTATTACACTAGCTATGTTGTTGTAGTTGCAACCAAAGAGCATTGGTTCCAGCAACGACTCCCCTGTTTACTCTTTTTTTTTATTTAGGATGATTTGTAAGTTCTGCATAGGTGTTCGATGGTTTGTGTTCATTGTGTGCTTATTTTTTCTTGTTTATGTATTTGTGAGCAGGTCCACTTCAATTTGTTGGCCCAACATCAAATGAAACCAATCACACTTTAATGCTGGAGTTGGGAGCCAAAGTTTAATTGATTCCCAAATCCGAACTCGAACTTCTGCTCCTTGGACATTTTCATCAAAACACATTCATCCAATATAGCAAATGGGCTCAGTGGATGGCAAAAACTTGTTTACAATCACAACATGCTGGTTATTTCTTGGAGAATTGTTCATCTTATTTTTGGACGGAAAAAAAAGTTATTCACATTATTTAACATTATCTTTTGAGAAAATTGTTTTAGTCCTGCTGTAGATTTATGGTCTCTATACTAGCAGCTAGCACATTTCTGAAGCTAAAAGAGATGTTCTCTACTACTAAGCATTATAATTTTGTGTAGCCTGACGAACGGGCAGCCAAAGTGTACACTTGTCATGCCTTTGTTTAACTACTACTCACTCCATTTGTGTTTTACCGTTTCATTTCGTTTCAAAATAAGTGGTATTTCACAAAATTTAGAAGACATTGATTTTTCTCTTCCATTTTATCCTTATTTAAATAAATGAAATTTTATAACTAAAAAACTATTAAAGATCAATTTCTTTGTAAAGATTTTGTAAATTAGTAAAAATACTTCTTACTTTTTAGGAATGAATAATTTTCTTAAGGGAGTAATTTATTGCTAGTTTTCCATTTATCAAACATTTAATAGGCATTTCAACAAAAAAATTGGATGTTGTTAAAATAAAAACAAAGTTAGAAGAAGCAAGTTTAAAGAAAGAAAAAATGAAGGGAATTTTGATAGAGTTGTCGAGAAGAGTTGTAAGACTCCCAAATAATATTGTGAATGGACGATTGTATTGCTCTCCTCCATCTTCTTCTCTACCTCCCAATAACAAGCTCTTCGTCGCTGGTACTATAATTTCAATTTCGCTTATTTTTATCATTTCATCTGTATATATATATATCAGTTTATCATATTGTAAGCATTTGCAGGTTTGTCATGGTCTGTGGATGAAAAATCGCTCAGTGATGCATTCTCCTCTTTCGGGCTAGTAACAGAAGGTAATACAAATTGCTAATGATTTACATTACAGTCTGTTTCTTCAGGAACAAAGGTGATATTTATGTTGCACTCTATGTATTTGATAAAATGCCTCATGGAATTACTTCTTTACGGAAGGTGCAAAGTGTCTGTACTATTGAGGGCATGGAGGAGCTAGGTAACACCAGCGTGTAGCGGTCAGCTTATAAAAGATTAAGCTCATGGTATTAATTTCAATGAACCTTAAATCATAGTATATAATAAAAGATGAAAGTTAGCAGAGAATTTGAACAAAGTATATACCTGAAAGGTTCAGGGGCAAGAAAATCTTCTGCAAGCAACGGATGACTCTGAGACGGTATTAAAATTAGTAGAGCACAGTTGACTGGAAAAGTAGTGGCAAATGCTTAATGATTAATGGGGCTGCCATTCGCGAGAAATATTGTTTGTCTTTTACTAAGTGTCCTTTCTTGAATTGCCTTTCCATGTTGCCTCAAGAACACGGTTTCTAGAGATTTTTCAACTGGAAAGGACTCACTCTGGGGTGATTAGATACTTACTGACCAACTTTCTCTGCCTTTACTCGTAGCTTAGTAGAGACAAAATTGACCACATCAAGCAATGGTGTGCAATCTTGAGAAATATTTTTCAAACATAGGCTACCAATATAGTCCCCCCTGGTTCTGCTTCACTCGAAGTATAAACTGGAAGAATCAGCTTTAAGATGCGCTTCCCGTGGGATGAAGGAGGTCTGTTGCAGAATTCTTAATGGTTTAGTATCACATTATTTAAATGAGCTGTCCCTAAAGTATCTTCAACATTTAATCAGTAACATTGTCTTGCACGATATTACTGATTGTCAAGATTTTCATTTTCTTGTTTCTTTTTGTATGAACATGTATGTACATTCCCACTATTTCTGAGCTGAACTTAAATTGCCTGAATATCTGTGTTTTCATGTCTAGTAAGGATAATGTATGATAAAGAAACTGGTCGATCAAGGGGATTTGGGTTTGTTTACTTCTCAAAAGACAAAGAGGCCAGCAGTGCAAAAGACTCCATGGATGGAAAGGTGAGCTAACAACTATATACTGTGATATTTCAGTCTTGTCACAATGGCATAGAATTTCAAAATGACATTAGTTTTATTTCAGGCTTTTCTAGGTCGTCCATTGAGGGTAAGCTTTGCCCTTGAAAAGGTCCGTGGTGCACCTGTTGTTGTTCCCCGACTTACAGGCACTGGAAATGCTGATAGAAAAACTCGTTGAGTTTTGTTTGCGGTAGTGTCCCTGGCATTGAGGAGTGGTTTTCTGCAGCATTTTTTCGGTTTGGTGAATATACCTTATGTTACTGGATCAATTACCTGATTACCTCCATGAACGCTTAATAAAAGGCGTTCGTTCTTTGCAAAAGCTACCAGGAAATGAAGCTAGTGCTGGGGTGGTCTTGTGGGAATTCACATTATGTTGACTTGAGTTTGTACTTACTATACTACCAAAAAACAATTAGAAATCTTATGCTGCAACCAGGAAATTGGTGCAGCTCTCTTTGTGTACCCTTCGTTTGGTTGTTGGTTATAAGTTACGCAGGTAAGATTTAGTAATTCATGTATTAGTTACTCATCATAACTTATACATGCATTAGTTAAGCGGAATTGTAAATTGATAATCAAACGTATGTTGAATTTATATTCATTAATATAGTAAGGTTGTTTGTTGTTGTCAAAAAAGAAAAGAAAGAAAGATAGCATAACTAACTTGCCACACTTTGGCTTTATTAGTTCTATCATTGATGCTTAATAATCGAAAAAAGTCATAACTATTATAAAAGCTTAGCTTCATTAAATTAAAATCAAATAGAAATTTTCATTGATGTTATTGAACCTGGTCAATCAGGCAATCACATCTCTTTCATACTCATATTTTAAACATAATTTTAATCGATTATAAAGTCAATATTAAGACTTTTACCTGGTTAAGATAAAAAAAAATGTTATGATGAGATTAGTTCTGATAAGATAAGTTATGTTGAGATTATTTTTTATTGAGTGTTTGATTGGTTGTATTCTAAAATAATATGCATTGCATAAATTTTAAGAATATGTTTTTTGTTTACAAAAATACCCTTCACTTTATTTAGTTTTTTTTTTTTTATATATATTTACTTGCAAGCTTTAGTTGTTTATTCTTAAATATAAAATTTTCATCTTATTTAGCTTAAATACTTTTGTGTGTGCATCCCATGTTGGTATCTAGGGGTGTTCACGGGTTGATTTGGATCGGTTATTGGTCAAAACCAAAACCAAACCAACTTAATCGGTTTTAAAATTATCAAAACCAAACCAAACCAAATATAATATACATTTATCGGTTTGGTGATTATCGGTTTCGGTTTGGTTTGGTTCGGTTATTCGGTTATTAACCATACACAAAAATAAAAGAAACAATTCATTTAAAATGTGAAAAAAGTGACAACAATCCATTCAAAATGAAAAATAGTTAGAATGACTTAAATTACTAAACTTTCAATCACTAAATTTACTATCAATGAAGCTTTAAAATTCACTATATTGGCGACAATAACATTTTCAGTCCCACAAAGAATTGACATAGTCACTCATATACATGAAATCAATAAGATAAATGTTTCATCTTGGGCATTTTTGCTTTCAATAAGTAAATTATAAAGAAATTTTAATGAAAATATGTATAAGATCTTTAAAATTGTTTATAAAAATAATATATAAAGTATGTATATTAATAAAATATATGTATGTAATTCATCGGTTCGGTTCGGTTATTTCTTCGGTTTTTTTCGAATAAAACCATAACCAAACCAAATACTATCGGTTTTCAAAAATCTAAAACCAAACCAAACCAAACCCAAATAAAATCGGTTTTATTTTATTGGTTTGGTTTGGTTTTTCGGTTTGGATCGGTTTTTATCCAAACCGTGAACACCCCTATTGGTATCATATGTATTTTAATTTATTTCTTTTTGTTTAGCTTAAAAATAGAATTTTCACCTTAAGTATGTTAAAGTAAAAAAAAGATTTATGAGAAATCAAAATATAAATAAACATAAGAATTAGTCAAATAAATTCATAAATAAAAATAATATTTATATATTGTAATTTTTTAATTGAAAAATATGAAGAATTATCATAAAAATAAGGGAAAATGGTTTGAAAAATACTCTAACTTTGGCCAAAATTGTTGTTACGATACCAAGCTTTATGGATGGCCTTTTGTCCCCTTGCATTATTTAATAGTGTATTTTAAATGTATATATGTGCTCACGTGGACACATTACTATTTATAATTATGCAATATTTATGATGTCCACGTAGGCACATATATACCTTTAAAATACACTATTAAATAGTGTAGGGGTAAAAGGTCATTTCCAAAGTTTGGTATCGTTACAACAATTTCGGTCAAAGTTTCGATATATTTAAGACATTTTCCCTAAAATAAGGAGTGGTGAAGGTTGTGAATGTTATTATACATGATATTGAAAATAATATAAATATACATGAATGTGAAAAGTGAGGTATAAAAAAGGGTTTAAAGAGATATCTTTGTCATCTACATATTTTATCCTGAGATAAGTTATCCTGTAATTACTATAGCACCCAAGGGAGAAATAACTTATTCCAATACTTTTATTAATTCGGGATAAGTTATCCCGAACTTGCCAACCAAACAACAAATTAAGTGTCACTATAATTTAATCTCACGACTATTTGATATTTATTCTTTACACCAAACGACCCCTAAATGTTATGATAACCAACATGAATTGTGGTGCAGTGGTTGGATTGCTTCACCCTTAATTAGAAATCTCGATTCCAGCGTCGGACTCCATAAACTGATTGGGAAAAAAATATAAAAAAGATACTCCTATTATGATAAAATTAACTTATAATTTTATCCAAAGTGAATTATAATTTTTAAAGAATAATAAGGTCCATCAATATTTTGTATAGAGATCTTTTGCAATAGTACTCTTACATTGCAACTCAATGTAAGTAGAGTTAGACATAGAGGCATATTTACCAATTAGACATCATTATATTATATTATATCATAAAAAGGAATATTTTTTTATTTTTTTTTCAAAAATTCACAATCTTATTTTTCGAACACAAGGTAAATCTATTTGTGTACAATAAGAATTATTTTGCTTACTAGACTCGATGTTGGAGTGTAGAAAATAATAAGCCTCTGTAATAAAGGAGGAAAAAATAAATACTCAAATCTTCGGCGGAAGAAACGAATATATACCAAAACTCTGCAGTCGTAGCTAAAAAGAGAGAGAGGAAGACGAAGAAGCATCAGAATTCAGAAAAAATGGAAAATCAAGCAAATCTCGCCGCCGACGCACAAAGAGAAGAACTGGTCAACACATTCTGTGAGATTACTTCTGCTTCTAAACCTGAAGCCCTTTTCTTCCTTGAAAGCCATAACTTCGATTTGGATGCTGCTGTTTCCACTTTCTTCGAGAACAGTACCTTTGCCGCCACCGCTGCTGCTGCCGTTGATGAAGACGATGAAGCTCCTGTCCCTGCTTCCGCCGCCACTAACGTCGCCGCGCAAGGCCGTTCTACGTCGCGCTCGCGATCTTCCTCTCCACCTCGACCTAGAAACCCTCCAACTTCTAGCCGCGGCGCTGCTGGGAGGAGAACTGGTGGAATTCACTCTTTCTCTGATCTGAATCGTCGTCCTGTTACTGGGTCTGGGAGTGACTCCGATGAGCCTCAAGAGTATTATACTGGTGGAGAAAAAAGGTATAACTGGTGGTACTAATGCTACTTTACTATTGGCTTTGTATTGCTTCATTCATATTTAGTTAGTACTAATAAAGGATTGGCATTGATGTTCTATCATTAGTTTGTTTTTGAGTAGGAATTGGAGAAAGTGTTTGAGTATGATATTTTTTGAATTTACTAGTGCAGAAATTTGAGGCCTTTGATGAGAGGACTATGTGAAAATTGTGATGTCAGTCTGCTTATCATTCCTGTTTATTCTTAATTTACTGTTGTGTCTGATCAATTTGATCTTGACAATGCAACCGGGTTCCTATATCCTTCCACCAAGTACAAATCATCTAGCTTTTTTTTTTTGCTTTTACCAAGATTTGGATCCCGGTTTCCATAGTCTTCATTCTATATAACTGATCACTATGTCACACCCTCGGGTGTGTTGATATGTTTATTTTGATATCACAATGTTGCATGATGTAGTTGCTTATCAATGTGACATGTTTGTGTGTTGCAATTTTGGCTGTCTAAGCCAATGGAGCCTTGACCTAGTATTTATGGAGGAGTTGCTTAGAGTTGAGACACTATCAGGTTCAAATTTCGTTGATGTATGGGGTCGAGTCGAACTTATGGATTCAATGTGTTTTCCCTACTAGTGTGTCCTGCATGTTACCTGTTTTCACCATTTCGTGGTGTAAATATAGGAAATATTCCTATTACTATCAATCTCACGATTTGGGTTTGGTCAGGTTTAAGGCTTTATGATTTGTTCATGTATTCAAGTATTTTTAAAATTGTTGGAATATGGAAAAAGTGCTCATCATCGAAAAGAAAACTAAACATGTGGTGCTTTATAAGAATTTGTTTCTGGTTCACTAGATGGCATCATCCAATTCCTTATTCTGTTTATGTAAGATGGAGAAAGCAAACATTGTAAATACATAATTCTTATTCTTGAGGTGTTCTGTTACATGGATACACTTGAATATTTCGGACTTGTATTGTAGAGACGCAGTGTGCATTTTTGCTAGTAATTTGCTTATCAAAATCTTTTTGTAGCGGAATGCTTGTTCAAGATCCATCTAAGGCAAATGATGTGAACTCAATATTTGATCAAGCTAGACAACATGCAACTGTTGAAGGACCTCCTGCATCGTCTGGCTCTAGAAGCTTTATTGGAACTGCTAGAAGACTTACGGGTGAGACTGTGTCCACTGCTCCTCAGCCACCTGAGAGTGTTACTCATACCATCACTTTCTGGACCAATGGGTTCACTATTGATGATGGACCCTTGCGGAGGTTTGATGATCCAGAAAATGCCCCTTTCGTAGAGGTAATGTCAGTCATGAGTTTTACCCTTCAAATATTTCCTTCGTTGCTCATCTTTCTGGTTCTACATTCACTACACATGTTCTCCTCAGCTGAGTCAACTAAACCTCCTTTTGTTAGAAAAGGTGTTCACAAAAATGTGTGACATTCTACTCTTTTTGTTGAAACTGTTGTGAACAGTGTTATCAAAGGTGAAGAACACAAAAAAGCTCTAAGGTGCATTGGGGCTTTAAGCACTAATGAAGAAAGTCGCAAATGGAGGAAAAAATAAAAATATGTATGTGTAAAAGGATTAAAGAGGCATGTTGTAGGTTGGAAAAATAGTGGGTTTTAGGTTATGTTGTTTCTCCTATTCTTCGTCGGCTATAAAGCTACTTCCTGTAGCTATGGGTGACAACTGAATGGATGGTTTCCTTCTACTAAGGCAATAACTCCCTCCCCCGAATATTTTGTTTGCTTTTGAATGCTTCTGAGTCAGACCTCTAGTTACATAACTGTTATGATCCTAATCGGGTCGCCCAATATTCAACCTCGGTTTAAAGTTAGCGACTAGCTAAAACTTTCTCTAAAAGGTACTAACTTAACTCTTATTTGAAAGGGAAATTTTGAATCAAAGTAACAAGCTAGTACATGTTTAGAACATACCACCCAAGTATTCTGATGTGTATCGAAGGTAATCTCATCCAAGGTAGTGAATTTGAAGCAAGTTTGTGCCTATAGTATTGAATTTTCTTGGAGATCCATTATCTTTCACTGGAAGGAACTGAGAATCTAAATTTGAAGTCTTCTTAGGTGCTCCTTAGAAACATATGGAAAACCATATGTTGTGTTCCAGGTCAAATTTGCATCTTGCATGTTTATGGTCGTTTATGTTGTTGACAATTTCCCCCCGTCTTTGCATTGGCAAAAATTAAGGACATAATATGAAACAAAGATTATTCTTTTCTTTTTGGTCACTGGTTGTTGAACACTTGAACTTAATAAGTTGAATTAAACTCTTTATTCTTACTCCCTTTTCTTTTGCGTAGTGCACTAAAACCTGATACTCCATAGTAACTATTTTTCACATGACTGTTTCCCTGAAGTAATTTCATGCTGTCGGAATTGGAATTATATTAACTCCTATTTATTCATTATCTATACCACGCCAGATGTTCTATGGATACAATTATTAGGCAGAACCACGAATGACTTTTGCTGGTTTATGCTTTTTCTATGTTGTGTTTTTCTTTCCCTACACTTGCTCTTAATATTTTGGTATGTGTAATTCAGAGTATCCGGAAGTCTGAGTGCCCAAAAGAACTTGAGCCAGAAGATAGGAGGACGTCTGTCCGAGTTAATCTGACAAGGAGAGAGGAGGATTGCCCTGTATGTCCTTATTTCTCTATTACCAAAGGCTCTCAATTATGCTTCTAAAACCTTTGCTCTTCATGGTAACACTCTTTTCCTTATTTGCAGGTACCAGAGAAGCGCCGTGCGTTATTTCAGGGTGTGGGAAGAACTTTAGGTAGCACTAGCAATGCTGAACAAGTAGACTCAACCGCTACTATCTCATCATTCACCGCAGCTCCATCCCCATCAGTGGGCCTAGTTGTTGATCAGTCACAACCATCAACCTCAATTCAACTAAGGTTGGCAGATGGTACACGAATGGTTTCTCGGTTTAACTACCAACACACAATCAGGGATATTCGAGGGTTTATTGATGCATCAAGGCCTGGTGGATCAAGGAATTATCAACTGCAGACAGTGGGCTTTCCTCCCAAACAACTCTCTGATCTGGACCAGACGGTAGAGCAAGCTGGCCTAGCCAATTCAGTTGTGATTCAGAAACTTTAGCGGGTTACGACTTCTCTGTTATATCTGCTGCAGTTACACCCAGAACCATGCTGATTTCAATGCTATCTTTAAACTACACATACATTCCTAATCACAAGTAGGGCTAGATAATGCTTTTCTTGGAGCCTACTGATGGAATTCTCTTTTGAAGTTGAGCAACATTCAGAAAGTTCCTTCTACTTTCCATTGTCGTCTAAAATTTGCGTTTTGTATATTGCATGTCCTTTTCATACTTATGATATGTGTTACTTGTGTTGAGAGTCTGGAAACAAACTCTCTACCTTCACGAGTTAGGAATAAGACGCATACACATCACCCTCCCAAGACCCCACTTGTGGATTATACTGAGTATGTTGTCTGCATTGTTCTGATTTCCCAACTTTACCTTAGTTCCAACTTCCAACAGAAAGCACATTTAGGACAAAACTTGCTCTGCATGTTTAACTTAAGTATGAATTAAACGGCATTATAAGGCCAGCTCTAGTGGTCTACACTAAATAAATTTCTATGCAAGATACTGAGTTACAACAATGGGGCTAGAAGACTTCTAATTTTAGCAGTAACCAAGAGGGTGGGTTCGCTTGGTAGGATGTATAAGATTAGTATTGAATAAAGTGTATTTCGTAGTAATATTGATATCAATTATGCTGAGATTATTTTTACCCATCGTTTAATTTGGTGTATTAAAATAATATGTACGCATAATTTCTAATAAAAAACATTTACAGAAATATCCTCCATAAATACCGTGGAAAGGATGTGAAAAGGTTTTAAGGTCTAATTATGTCTTTAACCATGCTAATGCATGTATTAGAACTCTTGCAATTAGCATGTATTAGAACTCTTGCATTGCTAATACTTATATGGTTTGTGATGTATTAGTTATACATAGCATAATACCAAATAGAGTGATATATAGATTAAAAAACTGTATCACGTAAGATATTAATAATACACAAAGTTAATGCATAAATTATTTATTCTAACACATTCTATCAAATGACCCATCATGTTGGAACGCATAAGCTAAAACGATAAAGTCATACGCTGTTTCCACTTATATTGTTTAATAAGTTATAACTGAATAAACTAATCATGCCCACTGGACATATGTTTCATATGAATTTGAAAATTATATCCTTTTGGAATATCTCTTGAAAATTATTTTTATTTTTGTTACTAAATCCAAAAAGTAATCGAATATTGGCTATATATTTTTTTTATCACTGTCCTTATGCGCTTATAGAATTTTTTGGTTGTTAACAGATAAAACTTTCCTGCGTGAAATAGGATCAGAAAATATTAATCCCAATTTAGAGTAGGATTAGTATTTTAAATCCTAGTTCCACTAGTAGAACAAAGAAATACTATTAATTTAGAGCCACCATTATTATTATTATTATAAATACAAATTCTTCTATTCACCCTTGTCACTTGGCAAAGTACGTCTCACAAATTTCTCAGCTATGGATTTTGCCGGTGCTGCGTATTTCATCCGTCGATTATTCCGGAGCAATTCCTCCGAGTAATGAGAGATTATTCAACTGACAAATTGGATGTTGATACTCATGTCATTTCAGAATTAGATACTCTATTTCAATTCCATCATGATTTACTAGTTGGATACAAAATTTTCCGAGTAACATTACCTTATCAGCAATCCCAAATACGACCCGATCTGGCTATTTTGAAACAATGTATCGATTTTATGAACAAAGTGCAGAAGCGCTTTCCTGATGATCAGGTTGTTTTTGGGAGATACATGAAGACAATCAAGGAATTGAAACAAGATAAAATATCTAAAAAGGAGGTTTATAATACAATTGCGGATATCTTTGGTGAGGAAAAGCAAGATTTGGTGGATGAGTTTTTGTGGCTGCTTTAAATAAGATAAGGGAGGAGTGCAAGTCGAAAAGATGAAAATTAGAAGTACTAAGTATAATTTATCATCATCTTGAAAGCAAAAAGCACTTGATATCGGCCTCTTAAAATGACATATTTATGTATTATGACTGCGGGATGATCCGAGATCAAATATTGGCGTAAAGTTCAAAGAAACATAATTTTATTTCAAATCAAGGAGTATAGTATAGGAGTTTTCTTGGACTTCTTGTTTTTTTTTTTTTATCTCTATGTGAATGTACTGATACTTTGTTATTGTGCCATTTAATGAATTGTAGATAGTTTCATTAATTACAGTTTTAATTCTTCACCCAATTCTGTATGAAGTTGTTTTACTCTAATTGCAGACACTAATGTTACTCTCTAATTTGATACTAATATACTTATTTGGCTTTAAAACAGTTATTCATTGTTTAATTTGGTGCAGACACTAATACACTCGGTATAAATGTATCCATTAGAATGCAACAAGCTCTATTAGTATAGTAGTACAGTCAGAATCTAACAAAGATTTTACAAAATAAAATCCAACACAATAGAATATTGAAGAAAGAACTTGACTTTTTTTCATGACTATTTGCGAAAGTTTCCCTTTGTTATATGGATGAAGATATCCTCTATTGTTTTTAATGACAATAAAGAGAAAAGAATAAACATGGTTGCTTTCAATTTGGCAAAGAAAATGTTAGAGGAGTTATGGGAATTGAAGAAGAATAAAGGTTAACTAAGGGCTATTCAAGGAGACAAAGTTAATGGATGAATTTATTTTTTCTTATGCATCATACTAAACAACACCTGATATTGGAACACATAAGCTAAAACGATGAAGTAGTGCCCCTAGGATTATTTAGTTCAACTTTTCATGACCATAAGATAAAAAGTCATATTGGTATATTCTATAATCTATATATTTTAAATTTAAGATCACAAGATTCAAAATATTTTTTTATTTTTTTAAAACTCCGTATCTATTCAAAACAAGATAAACAAATTGAAATGGAGAGAGTAACAAGTAAGGTCTCATTTTTTGACATGATTTGAAATTGGGTTGATTTGAAATTTGAAGCTTTGTTTGGACATGCAATTTGAATTTCTTAAGCTGTATTTTTTCTCATAAAAATAAAAAGTCTACAAGTTATTGAAAAAATCAAAATTTCCCTAGTTCTTATACATTCTTACAAAATGTGTAAATCATAGTTATTAAACAAGATGTCAAATCTCCTAAGATTTCACAAGATACATTAACTAGTCAGCAATAGTAGAAACTAAATTATTTTTTAATGTAATTCTTTAACATGGCATAGATGATGATATCTTCACAAAGAGCATAGAGTTTTTTTTACATAATTAAAATAACGGATCTTTTTTTTTTTTTTACAAAATAAAGATCTATAGGTTTAGTTTTTCATTTAAAAAAAATTAAAATCACAAGTTAAAATCTAAAATCCTATTTTTTGGAAAATTTGTATTTGAAATGATTTCAAATCATACATCAAAACATTAATTTAAATCACAATATAAATTGCATGTCCAAATACCAATTAATTTAGAATATATATTGTCATAAATAATAAGATTTCTTATATAGGACAATTAAAGAAGTATGTAATAAACAAAAACATTAATTTATTTTAAATATTATAATAATTTGAAATGAAAGTTTAAGATAATTTTTTGGTGATACGACCGTCAGCATTATTTCTTTGAGTCATGAGTGATTATTCAATGTTATTGTTGCTATCGTGTCCCAATTAAATACTCTATTTCAATTACACAATGATTTGTTAAATTGGTATCAAATTTTTCCGCTTTCATAATTTTAAACATGGTTATCTTTGTTGCATCCTCGACAGCTCCAAAAGAGTAATGTTATTAACGCCTACACTATAAAGGAAATTACATTTGATCTTTATTAAAATGCATGAAGAAAATGTATTTAGTCATTTATTAAAAATCCTAAACTCCTCTAGCTTTTACCTAGGTGGTGGAAAATCTTGAACAATATGGAATAAAAAATAGAGTAAGAAATTTAATTCTTGCATTAATTTTAGGAAAGCTACTTTACATTTAAACACCAAAATTAATGGTCCAATCATAATTACTCCATCCGTCCCATTTTATGTGAGGTAGTTTGATTCGGTACGGAGTTTAAGAAAGAAAGGAAGACTTTTAAAACTTGTGGTCCAAAATGAATGATAGAAATTTGTGTGACGGTAAATCATTTCATTAAGGGTAAAATAGATATTTTATAGTTAAATTGTTACTTAATATAAAAATGTGTCATTTTTTAGGACTGACTAAAAGGAAAGTAAGTCACATAAATTGTGACAGTGGGAGGAATGTTTTTCTCTCTCTCATTGTCCGTTTCCTTTTGCCAAATCATTCTTGTATGCACCTTGCTAAATGCCAATGGTGAATTGTTCCTCGTTCAGTATCTGTTGGGTGACATCTAATCCAATTTTAAAAACCCAACTTCAAGCATATAACACATTACGGGCGTGTGTTTCAGTTACATTTCATATTTAGATACAAATAATTAGATGTATCTGCTTATCATGTATTCAAGATGAATATTTTTGAATATAACATATGAAATTTATAACATAATTTGGATAACATCAAAATTATTTATTATTTTAAATTATTTAAATTATTACTCTTTAATAAATATGTTTTTTAGTCTTTTCTAAGTAAATAAGATAAGAGTTAATCTAAGCCATAGCAATATTGGAGTATGTATGTATATATGTTTTTTACTTAGATTTTTTATATTAATTAGTCAATATTCATTACTTTCAAGAATATAATTATTACTAAAAGCAAAAATGTGAAGAAAATAATCAGTTAATATATATATATATATATTTTAAAAAAAACTTTAAGTTGTCGAGTATGGACTTTGTATGTCTTTAAGAAAAAATAATTATTATGAGTGTTTTACTATAATATTAATATTAATTGACATGTTTTAAGTCTGGAAAAGTAATTTGAGGATAATTAATGTTAAAGTTAAAAACAAAAAAATAGCAAAAAAATGAACATTTATTCCTAAAATATTGAATTAACAGGGAAATATAACAACCAAATACATTTCTCATGTCTCAAGTGGAATTTAATTTCCTCATTGTTTGGTTCTTTTTCCTTTTTTTTTTTTTTTTGGTTATGATGAAGCAAGAAAATAAAGAATTGTAAGAGCAATGAAGAGTTGTTACGTGAGTGTAGTAAAAATTTACAACATATGAATTAATGAATGGAAAAATAACAAGGCTGCTCATATGATTCCAATTTT